AAACAGCATGGCAGGACCCCAGCCCAGGGTGAGGGATCGGGGAGGCACCCAGTAGGCATGTGCTGTGTGGTCTGTGTGGGAGAAGGCGCCTCAGCACTTGCTATTCAGAGTTTGGTTGCAGACTCGCCCACACCTGGGAGCAACACGAAAGCTCGGCGCCACCCCAGCCCCTCTGGACAGCCCCTGCATTTAAATAAGGGCCCCATGTCATTTGTGTGCACCCAGAAGTCTGAGGGGCACTGGTATCTCCCCAACATTGTTCCTTTCTCTCCAAGAGAACACAGAGAGAACCTTTTGTGAACTAACGCTTTAGAGCTTGAAAATTGATCTCCGGGGCTTGAAATTAGAGTCCCTGAAGCCTTTTCTGCTGAGAGAGGGACTCACCTGGGTTTTCTAAGCTCTTCCTGAATTAATTCCAGAAGTAATTCCCCTGGCATTTCAGCTGCTGTCTCTTCAGTGCTGGTGTCTCTCTCCTGGAGCTTAGCCAAAAAAAAGGGCGGGGGGGTTGTGGAGGGGGGATTCACTTGGCACACCTCGAATTTCCTAATTGGAAGTTTCAGAATTTTTCATTCTTTTAACCACTTTGTCTTCCCTGTTCCCTGTCCTTCAAAGACAGTTATTGAATTCTAATTTACATCAGATACTTGGGCTCATAAATTAGCCACTAAGTGGTGCTTTTTCTTGTTATTTTATCTCTTGCAGTCTTCTGGTGCACTTAGAAATATGTTTCTGATTCATTTAAAAAGAAATCTTGCTCCCTGTTCCGATCTTATATGTCAGAATAAATTATAACACAAATGCTTTATCCTTCGGAAAACATTCAAATCTGTCTGCTACATGGTTGGACGGAATGTTGATTTCATGACTTCTTAAATGTATAACTCCTTAACCTTCACTATAGAAGAGAGCAGCTGCTGCTTTACCTTGCGTAGTAAGTGTCATGTTTGCTCTTACGCAAGCTGGGAATGTGGCAGGTAAACGGTAAAAGCACATAGACAAGAAACCCTAAAGCACATAGACAAGAAACCCTAGAGCCAGCTTGTATAGAAGACAGCAGATGCCACATAATATTGCCATGAGACAACTTTAAATCTTTAAGAAACGGTTTTCTTCTTTTATTGTCCATTTTTAAAAGATATTACATAGAAAGGAATATGACCCTTCAAAGTAAGCAGCTATTTTTCTGGTGTAAGTTTGTGACTTTCAGATACTAATGGAACCAACTAGAAACATTTTACCTATATAAATGTATGACTAAATATCGTTTACAAATTTTAGTATACACAAAAGCTATTCACAGAATTTTATCTTTACTCTTGATTTCCATCTTTGCTAGTGAGTCAAAATACCTCTGAATGTCTCTCCAGCTTTGGTGTAATTGTAATAAGCTATTTTAATTCAGTATTATGTTTTTTTTGTAACCTCACAAATCATATGGTATTATTTGTTCATTTATACCATCAGAAATTGTTTAGATTTAACCATACTGCCTTTATCATTTATTCTCTATTCCTTCTTCTCAGGTCTTCCTTCTGGAATTATTTTTCCTCTTTAAGTATAGCAGGTCCTCAAATAACATTGTTTTGTTCAGTGTTGTTTTGTTATAATGTTGGTGAGATGCTGTAGGAATTTAACTCTTGTTTATATCCATTAGCCTATGGTAAAATTGATAACATTGTTTTGCTTAAAGTCCCAGAATCTATCAATGATGTTGAGGACTACCCTTGTTTAGACAGATTTCTCTACTGAAGGTCTTCTGTTGGTACAACCACTTTTTGCTTCTCTGAAAATGTCTTTATTTTAACAAATAGAGAGTATTGCTGGTTATTCAAACCTAAGATGTCAGATTTTTTTTTCCTTAGCAGTTTGAAGATTTTATTTCACTGTCACTTGGCTCCTCGTTCTGTGAAGTAGGTATCTGATGGTGCAATTGCCATTCCTTATGCTCTGACTGCATTTATTTACAATTTCTCTTTCTCTTTGGTGTCTTGTGGTATCAGCATGTGAGTAAGTCTGGGTTTTTAAAACATTCATCTTGCTTGGGACTTCTTGGTCTTCCTGAATGGGATTCATGTCTCCTATTAATTTTGGACAATTCTTACTGTTATCTCTTTGAATATTGTCTCTACCCAATTCACATCTTTTTAAAACTTTGACCAAATGTATGTTGGACTGTCTCGTTCTATCTTCCATCTCTCTTTTTTTAAAAAAATATATCTCATCTTTTTATATATGTATCTCTTTTTTTATTTCTCTGTGCTCCATTCTCAGTAATTTTCAGATCTGTTCTCCAGTTCACTAAATCTCTGTTCAGCTATGTCTAAATTTATGTTTATTATTTGTTATATATTGTATATGGAGTTTTAAAATAGAAATTATTACATATGTATTAATTTCTAAATGTTCATTTTGTAGTCTCTTGCTACTTACTCATGTTTTTTGTCCTGTCTTTATTCTTTTTAAATGTAGTAAGATACTTTAAAAAATATATTCCATAATTCCAATATCTGAAGTCTTTACAGATTTGATACTATCTGTGTGTTGTTGTTTTCTCTTTTGGGTGGTTTCTTGACTTTTTCCATAGTACCTTATTTCCTTGTGTTTTATAATTTTAAATTTTGCAGTCATTTGTTGGAGTTTTAGCTGCAGAATATTTTGATGCCTGGTTTGAGAGTGTGTTTTTCTAGAGATAATTTATGTTAGCTTGGATAGGTGTTGGAGACCTGGTCCATTTTAAATTAGGATTCTCAGCACATACTTTTCTGGACCATACAAACAGAGTAAGTTCCAAACTTGGGGAGACTTTTTGTAAAGTATTTGCACAAAGTCAGTTGCGACAGATACTTTTTCTTGCTGTCCTTTCAGGGATGGGTTGTTTTCATCCTAATTCATGCTTTCCCTGAGACGGTGGCACTTCCTGGGTCTCTACTTTTTAGAGATGGTCTTCCCTTGGTTCTTTACTTGTCCAGACCCAACACATGTCCCTCATTTCCTCCATGGACTAAGCCAGCGATTTTCAACTGGTGTGCTGCAAGAACTTTTAAAACCTGCAATACCTGGCTAAATAGTCAGGGTCACTGACTGCTTTCCCCTTAGATTGTCAAATAAAAAAAAAAAGACAACAGCCAGCATAACAATAGCCATCCTATGTGAATGAGTCAAAGTTATACCTATTGTTTGGTCAGATCTGCAAAAAATAGATATGTGTGTCATAGAATTTTAGTAATTAGTGTGTGTGTGCCACGAGATGGAAAAAGTTGATGGTCTCTGGCTTAAGTGTTAGGCTGCCTGGTCTAGTGTCCCTCTAGGCCAGCGGTTCTCAACCCGTGGGTCGCGACCCCTTTGGCGGTCGAACCACCCTTTCACAGGGGTCGCCTAAGACCATCCTGCATATCAGATATTTACATTACGATTCATAACAGTAGCAACATTACAGTTATGAAGTAGCAACGAAAATAATTTTATGATTGGGTCACAACATGAGGAACTGTATTTAAAGGGCCAGAAGGTTGAGAACCACGGCTCTAGGCTATCTGGTGACTTCAGTGTTCGATGACCTCCATAATCCAGCTCCTGCTTTGCTCCTACACTCAGCCCATGTCCCCTATTGTCTTACAGGCTCATTCAGTCCCATAAGAGGATGTTTTTAGAGATTTATTAACCATAATTAAGTGTTATGAAGTGGGAAGGCTTTGAGCTCTCTAGCCTGCCATATTGCCAGGAATAGAATAGAAATAATTTACTCTTGAAAAATAGAGAGCAAATTCAAGATTATCCCTATACCAATTCACATCCTTGTGTTCGGACAGATTGTCTGGATGAGTGAGAGGAGGATGTTGACATGAGTCCTGATAGCTGCTTAGTCCCCAGCCTGTGCTGCAGTGGACGCTACCCTCTGCCCTGGGCCTTGCTCAGGGGCCTCGGCCACCACATGTCCCGCTTCTCTGAATCAGAGGTGGAGACACATAAACTGCTGACATGATAATGAAAGCTGTCACGAGGGCAGGGAGTACCAGAGTTTGAGAGGATAAGATGCTTTTGGTACATATCAGAACTTGGTCCTAAGAAACCACTCATTCATTCATGTAACAGATGCTTATTGGCCCTTGCATTATGTAAGGGAAACAGATCCACTGTCCCTGTCCTCATGAAGCTCACCCTGTAAGGAGCAAACAGTTCATTTCACTGGGGCAGTAGAAGGTAGGGAGAGGTACTAACCCAACTTGAGGAGGGAGCGTGGTATCTGTGCTGCATCTGCAGGACTAGGAGGCATCGCCCGGGGGTAGGGCCAGGGAAGGGCATTCCAGGCAGAGGGACAAGAACGTACCTAGTACTGAGCCAGAGAGAATTTGGTTCAGGCAATTGCAGGCAGCTCATTTGGCCAGAGCATAGTCGGGAAGGCGTGAACCTGGAGCAGGGAGCCAGAAGAGCTGAGCCTGGAGGTCGCCCGAGGCCTAAATGATGAGGGCCCTCTAACCAGGAAGCTGTTGAACTCTCTTACCTGGGGAGTGAGGGATGCTGTCAGAGTTGCCATGTTCATTTCTCTCGAGAGCCAGCCCTCTGGAAGAGAAAGAGCATGGGCTTGGCATGAAGGCGGGAATCTTCCAGTCCGACTCCAGCGCCGCTCTCTCCGGGTGGGCATGGCGTGTACTTGATTTAGGCACCTCCTCTGAACCTCTCTTTCCAGAGAATGGACTAGACAATTTCCCAAGGCCTCCTCCATCCCAGCATTCTGTGGTGACATTAGAAAGTAAGAGGAAAAATGCCATTGTGCACACACACACGAGCTTAAGCAAAGCCGGAGCTCAAATGTGTATTTGCAGATGTTACCCTGACAGTAATGCTGGCGGTTTCTGGCTTCCAATTAGCTATCTAACCAACGTCTGTGAATCGTGGGTATTCACAGCGAGTGGGTATCGGCTCAGAGGGTGGATGTTTATATCAGAAGGTGAGCAGTGTGACTGGCCCGGCAGCTGACCCAGTGTTTGTTTGCCTTGTAGACGAGCTCTCTCTGGAGCAGCACAACCTGTCGTCGCCCTCCGCGGAGCACCCACTGAAGGAGAGCGCCGCGCACAGCACTGCACACGTGGCCTTAACGGAGGCTGCCCCAGGGTCCCGGCCGAGCAGTCCTCCCCACCTCATGTCCTCTCCATCCGCTGCTACTTTTGATACAGCCTTTTTTAACCAAGGAGAACTGACCCCAAGTACAGCAGACCACAGTGTCTTTGTGGCAAATTCCGTGTCAGTGACGAGCAACGAGGTGGTCATAGATGACGATGAAATGGATAACTTTTTGCCAGAAACTCAGTGGGCCACCTCCCGCGTGGTCTCTCCGATACAGTATGTCACAGTCAGCCCCCCGGGGCTGCCCGAGGAAACAGCAGACTCCGTGCTGACGCCACCATTGCCCACTGTTCCTTCACAAGATGAAGAAGTGACATCCGTCTGGCAAGACACAATGCAACAACCGACAATGTGTGCTGAGTCCCCCAGTCATTGCAGTGTTTTCCCGTCAACTTTTCTTGCTTCCGGGGCCATGATTCCAACCCCTAGTAGGAATTTGGTGCTTTATCCTACTGGACGCTCATCAAGCAGGACTTTGCTGGAGGTCGTGGCTTCAAGAACAGAGGGCGTAGAAACCCTCCTTTTTAGCTCCACATCTTCAGTGCCTCAGCCGTCAGGCGATGGCCTCACTCAGCCATTCCCCGCCCCGGGGGAGGCCTCAGCGCCTCCAGAGGGTGTTCTGGCCCCGGGTTCAGACAGATACCCTGATGGGACCACTGCTTTGAGTCAGAGTCTAAAAGAAACCATCTCTCCAAGAACATCTCCAATTGCAGCTATCTCCCAGACGGCCCTTGCTTTTAGCAGCAGCTGCAGCATAAACTCAGCTTTGTTTTCAGGTCCTCCTGCGTTTGTGTCCTTTTCTACTCGGTCAGCTGATGTTTCATATGACCCCGTTCTTCCTGGCAATTCCAGGGAAGCATCCGAATTGCCTGGCAGTTCAGTGGTCCCCAACCATGTGGACGACACTCCTGTCTGGAGCCCAGCGTCTCCATTCAGACCGTACACGTGGTGCGGGTCCTGCTCTGTGGCATCACCGCGGCACGTTCTGTCCACGAGCCTCGTGGAGAAAGACGGGGGCTCAGGGGACAGTGCTGAGACCATGACCGTATGGGAAGCGAGCAGCATATCTCCACCAAGCAGCACCTCTCCACCGAGCAGCATAGCAGAGGCCGTCTCTGAATTTGAGGAAGATCCTCAAGAATATAACCTACTTTTCCCCTCAAGACCAATAGTTCCACTTTCTTCTCGGTTTGTGGAAATCTCAGAGGCAAGCGTGGGTGTTTCGGCCGAGGCGGGCTGGAGGAGCATCAGGATCACACAAGCGTATCCTTCCCACGGCCCCTCCCCGCCGGTGTCACTCGATCCTGCTTCCTCTGGCTCCGTCTCTGCCATTGAAACTCAAGTAGTGCCGCCCAGTGTGACAGCTGTGTTTCCCTCGGCCGTTCCTGGTGTTCTCCTCGACTCGTCTTTCTCCGTCACGGCCGACGAAAACACGCCATCACTTGCTTCCGGAGACCCGACGCCGTTTACGTCTTATGGTTTGGAGCCTTCCGCAGAGGCTCCGCTTTTCCCTGCCCGCGAACCCGCCAGTGTTTCCCAACACGAAACCAGAAGGACTTTGGGGTTTGCACCCAGCTTTTCCTCAACTCCGCCGCTGGAGTTCAGCAGCTCGGCCCCTTTGTCTTCAGAGGGACTTGCGTCTCCTTCTCCGATGTCAAGTGACATGTCGACCATCCTTGCTCAGGCCTTTCCCACGTTGGTCGAGACACTTACGTTGACCGACTCTCCCAATCTGCAGTCACCTCCGCTCTCTGTCCCTAATTCCACAAACCTTGACTTTTCTCAGCTCTGGCCGAGTTCAGACCTCCTTTTAAGTGCACCCACGTTTCTGCCTACTTACTCTGAAATGTCGCTCCTCTCAAGCTTCCACTCCACGTCTCTCACGCTCTCCGAAGCAGCCACCGTTTCACCGGCAGATTCTGAAGCCCGTTTTACCTCAGTTTTCACGGAAACTACCTCCTATTTTGAGTTTTCACTCGTGCCCCACGAATCGGCGGCCCCCACGCGGGTGCCCTCCAGCTCTGAGCCCATCCTTGACATGTCGACTGCTGGAGCGCACTCAGCGTCACTTCTGAGTGCTTTTCAGACAACACCCCTTGTAACAGAATCATCCCTCTTTTCCACTCCAGCGCCTTCCGACGGGGATATCAGTGCGATGGATGATCATGCGTCTGTCTTACCCTCTTTCTCCACGGTCACTCCTACCACCACAATATTGGTCATCGCCGTGTCCCCGTCCTCAGCATCCTCCGCTGTTTCTGAAGTGGTCCCCTCACCTGGACCTACAGAGGCTGTATTTTTGGGCCCATCGTTCACACTCACAGATTTGCCGATGAACACAACCACTGAACTGAGCACATCTCCTGCCAGCACTGCCCCTGACGATGCTGTCGACATCATCCTGAACAGCACCCCTGAGAGTCAGAATCCCCACGAGAGCAGCACAGTCCTCCCCTTGCCGTCCCTTCATCCTGTGTCCACCTCCACTCCCGAGGCCGTGGTCACTACTCCGGCAGTGGTCACCACCAGGCTGCCGTACGTGTGCGATATCACAATTCCTGATGCCTATTTGATCACAACTGGTAAGGCCCTGTTTCCTCCTCTCTTTTGGTCGGGGTGATCTTTCTAAGATGCTGTTTGAAATGCTTGTGGGATATGTAGCATCCTGGCAAAGCGTGTAGGCTTTAGGCCAAGAGATCTCTTGGGTTGGTAATCCTCACTCCTTTGCTGACCACCTGTGAGTTCTTCAGTTATTTAGCTTCTCTAAGCCTCAGTTTCCCCAATGATTAAATAAGGATGATACTGGCACCCACTGCTTTGTAATGCATAGAAAATACTCAACCCAGTGCCTAGCATAAGGAGCACCCTCAAAATATGATATTGTAGTTAGTAGTAGCAATAAGAATAAATAAAAGATTTAAACCTTAGAAGTTTTGCTAGGATATGTGTCTCTGGAACTCATCCCCCATGCTTCAAAGTCATGGTTAAAACAAACCTGAGTGACTGGCCGACAGGCGGCTGCCTGTCCCATAAAGCCGTATACGTTTGCTGCCATGTCTGTGCCAGTCTAGTGACCGGGCCTGCGGGACCAGGCTCTCTGACTTGTTCTTCATGAGAAATGACAGGGCGTGCATGAAGGCTGTGAGCCATGCATATGTACTTACATACAATGTACTGTTGATGAGCAGCCTGTGTGTGTGTGTGTGTGTGTGTGTGTGTGTGTGTGTGTGTGTGGGTTGTTTGCTGTGTGTGTGTGTGTGTGTGTGTGTGTGTGTGTGTGTGTGTGTGTGTGTTGACTTTGATGCGGACGACGGGTAGAAATGAACCAAGGGGAAGAAGATGGCAGGAGAGGTAGAGGAGCAGTGGAGTGGACAAGGAAGGGGGGAATAGGGAGAGGTGGAGGTGGGGAAGGAGGAGAACATGCTGGGTCTTGGTTCTCCAGGCTGAGTGACGTGAGCCCTGTGTCCTCTGCTCACCCTGGGGGTGCTGCCACCCTCCGAGAGGGTTGGGGGTAGCTGAAGCCTTTGGTCTCCCAACTCCACCCTCCCCAAATGAGGCAGCTATTTGTTAATTCACGTGACAGGTAATGATGGAGCCCTGAGTGTGCGTGAAGTACTTCTGGAAGCGTTCCGGGATATAGAGGTGAATGGCTTGGTCCCATCCCGCCAGGCGCTTAGCGTCCAGTGGGGCGGATGCTGAGCCATGTTTCCTTGGCAGCTGTGTTGGGAATGGCTGAGGCAGAGCTGTAGAAGAGTGACTGTTTGGGATAATCAGGGACGGGTGTGGAAGAATGTGAACTGGAGGTCACGTTCAAGGATGAATGAAAGGCTGTCACCTGCAGATGGAAGGAAGTGTCCTCCAAGTTGAGAGTGTGAACACGGAGGGAGGTATGACAGCCCAAGGACATTCAGTTTGGCTGGTAATTAGACGGAGGTGATAAGGCGGGAAAGGAGGTTGGGACAAAGTGGTGAACTTTCATTTTTGGGACTCCAGCCCTCTAGAGGAGAGAGAGAAGAGTTTCTAATAGACATGGTCCTTTCCTTCCTTCCTACAAAATTGTTGCATAGTAGCCACAAAGTGGACAGTTACAAGGAGCTTATTAAAGTAACTACTGAAAGCTTATTTATCTCTGGAATTCTATGAAATTTATGATACTTCTACTGTATCTTTCAGAACTCATTATTCTACAGATAATTAGAAACCATTTTAGAAATACCGCTCAGAATATCAAATATATGTAGCATGGATTAACTTTCATATATGACATACATTTAAGGAGTTTGATGTCCTTTGTTAGGGATCCATGTATTTTTTTTTTTTTAAAGTTTTTATTGACTTCAAAGAGAGGAGGGGGAGAGGGAGAGAGAGAAAGAAACATCAGTGACGAGAGAATCATTGACCAGCTGCCTCCTGCACGCCCCCTACAGGGGATTGAGCCTGCAACCTGGGCATGTGCCCTGACCAGGAATCAAAGTGTGACCTCCTGGTTTATAGGTCGACCCTCAACCACTCGACCGCACAGGCTGGGCGGGGATGCATGTATTTTTAATAGTGTAAAATTCACGTATTGTAAACGTACACTTGAACCGTTGTAGTAAATGTGCAGAGTTGTGCAGAAGTGTCCACTCTGTTACGTGGTATTTTTTAAGTGGAGATGAGTGCCATCTTTCGCTCTCAGGGATAATTGTAACTCACGGAAAGTGTCCTCTCATTGAGGATCTTCATTTAGATTTGAACCTGGGTTTTTTGTTTGTTTTCTTGTAATTATGTATCAGAGAAAAAGAGGGTTGAGGTGATTCTTCGTCCTCTGGAAGGGTTCTTGTTAGAGAACCCTCTGTAATAAAAGTAAGAGTAATCTCCATGGGTTCACGATGGACTCGTAGGAAGACACTGACCACACGTATCCAGTCTGGGGTGAGGCCGCCCTTCTCACCCAGGGATGGCCCACCCCAGGCCTCCCCAGGAGCTCTTTCTCATCTCCAATGGCTCTGAGGAATTTGGAGACACCATAAGGTCTTGGTTGATAATCCTATTTTCCCAAAGATTATTGAACTCATATCGGAATGTTGCAGTTTTAGATCTTACTCTGATTAATTTGAGAAGATGGAGGATATGGTGGTGGGTCATGGGGACTATTCAGAGTAATACAGCAGCACCTTGAATAACATCGTTTTGTTAGGACATTTATGAGATGCTGAAGGAACTCGACTCTTGTTAAACATGAGACCTCCATGCTCTCTGCCCCCGGCTGGGCCACAGAGTCTGATTCCTGGTCTCACCCACGGAGGCAAGGAGTGGCGGGTTTTCTTAGCATGTCGAGCTGATGCTGTGCATGGTTGACCTGGTGACCTGGTGGTGCCTTCAAGGTCCACTGTGTTCTTTCCTCGTCGGGGCCTTATTTACAAAACGACTTTTGGAGCCACTACCACGCTTTGGCACAGCACTGGCTCTGCCTGGGGCCCAGCAGTGGGATGACACTAACCTGGTGTGGGTGTTGGCTTCGGTCTGCAGTGCTGGCCAGAAGAGCCGTGCAGGAATACATCATTACGTCCATCAAGGAGGTGCTGAGGATTCACTTCAACCGCGCCGTGGAGCTCAAGGTGAGTCCCTGTGGCGGAGAGGCTGAGGCCGGAGCCCAGGTGAAGGCAGCGTTACAGTGGTCGTGGAACGTTCTCTTTCCGTTCTTCCCTCCCTTCCCCAACTCTGCCAACGTATCCCTCTAATGGACTAATCCTGGCCCAATTAGAGGGTTGAATTGGCAGAGTTGGAACAAAGGGGCTCCAAGACCAGAGTTTGGGGTGATGACCCTAACGATTGTGCTCTTGATTTACATGAAAGGACTGGGAGTAGAGTTTAAATTAGATTTTAGAGAGAGTGCCTATCCACGTTTCTGTACATTCAGTGAGACAGAGGTAAATTGCCAGATGCCTTATGGTGGGTACTATGCTAATGCCTCCTCTCCTCTCTTGAGCTCTGATGCCACACTGAGACCCCTCACCTTCCCAGTGGGAGCCACGAGCAAATGAAATGGGGCTGTCTGAATTGAGGTGGACTGTCAGTGCCAAATACCATGGGATTTTAAAGACTTAGTGAAAAAAGGAACGTAAAATATCTCACTAATAATTTACATTGAAATGATATGTCAGATGTCTTGGGTTAAGTAAAATGTCTTTAAAATTAATTTCACCTCTTTCTATGTTTTTTAATGTGGCTCCTAGAAGCCTTACAATTGCATATGAGGCTCACATATTTCTTTTGGACAACACTGCTCAATAGGATAACTCTTTCTTTATATGTGGGTTAAACACAGCAAACACTTTGAATTCTTCATAACTCCGCATTCAGTTCATATTGCTGGCTATTCTTTCTTGTCGTCCTTGCTCTTGTAATTCTGTGCTATTTTTGAGAAGGATAGCAGATGTGCAAAAGTAATTACTAAAATAAAATTTTGAATGTCTGTGAAGCACTAGCCTTTCGTTTAAAACCAGCTATTTATTTTTTACATTACTTTATTATTTTTTCTGTTCAGTACAATTTCCTGTACATGTGGTTGATGGTAATTTGGTTAGATAATTTGATAATTATTATCTTTTGTCTTCTTTATTTTCATAGGTTTATGAACTGTTCGCTGACTTCACTTTTCTGGTAACATCTGGTCCTTTTGTTTACACGGCAATATCAGTCATAAATGTGCTTATAAACAGTAAACTTGTACGCGACCAAACTCCTTTAATCCTGGCTGTGAAACCTTCCTTCCTTGTGCCGGAGTCCAGGTTCCAAGTTCAAACGGGTGAGCACACTGTCCATAATTGTTTTGACTTGTAAATAGAATTTCACTTTTTATTTAGAAGTTTTTTTTTTAATTTGGGGAAGAGTTTTAAAAATTTATTTAAATTTTCAAAACTATTACGGAAAATTTCTAGCATATACAAAAGTACACAGAATAGTTTAATGAACCTCTTGCATCTCTCATACGGTTTCAGCAATTTTCAACTCCTTGTTACATCCACACTCCCATCTACATCCCTCCTCTCACATTATTTTGTTTGTTTTTTCATTAAATTTATTGGGGCGACATTTGCTAATAAAATGATGTTTCAAATGTACAATTCTGTGCTATATTATCTACATATTGCATTGTGTGCTACCACCCAAAATCAAATCTCCATCCATCACCCCTTTATCCTTTGCTACTCTTCAACCCCCTTTCCCTCTGGTAACCGCCATGCTGTTGTCTGTGTCTATGAATTTTGTTTATCTGTTCTTCTTGTTTGTTAATTTCTTGCTTTCAGTTTTATATCCATATGAGTGAAAATCATGGTTCTTGACTTTTTTTGTCTGACTTATTTCTGAAATACTGCCATTTGTGACAACATGGATCAGTCTTGTATCATGCTAAGTGAAATAAGTCAGACAGAAAAGGACAAGAACCATATGCTTTCACATGTGGGATATAAAACAGCAACAAACCAACTAACAAAACAAACAAACCATAGACACAAACAACAACCTGGTTTTTACCAGAAGGAAAGGTAGGTAGAGAGAGAATGAAGAGGACAAAGGGGGTCAAGTACAAGGTGAGGAGGGAGACTATATTTTGGGTGGTGAGCGCACAGTACAATATACAGATGATGTGTTATAGAATTGACCCTTG